CGGGGGACCCCCGGGGGGAGTGGCCCAGCTGCGCCCTCTGCACCCGCTGGGGAGCTCCCCTGCCCGCACCCAGGGGCACGGGGCTGCCCCCAGCTCCCGGGGCAGGAAGGGGCCGCCAGAGCTGGGATCCCCCCATAGCCGAGCGCCTGGCCCAGGCACTTAGCGCCATGAGGCAGCTTCATGCCACCCCCGGGATCTTCCCAGCCACCCCCACACGCAGCCTGAAAGAAGAGGGGCTGGGGCTTGGGCGACCCCCCCTGCCCCTCAAACAACAACGGGGAATCAAGCAGCCACTTTTGCAGCAGTTGGGGGCAGAAAGAGGATTTGGCGAGTCTTTCCGCTGGAAAGTTGCAGTGGCGGGAAAGATGTGGAGTGGAGGGGCTCCCCCCACCCCCACCTGAGGGCAGGAGGCAGACCTGGAGAACAGCCTCCCCCGCCAAAGCCTGGCAAGACAGGAGCTTCTGGCCTTGCAGGTAAGTGCACCCTGGTGTGCATTTCCCCTGGGGTTGTGGCCTGGCAGGTTGCCTGGAGGTGTGAATGCAACCCCTTGGGACCCTGCAGAGCCCACAGGAGAAGGCAAGTTAGCAGCTTTCTTCCTGCTCAGCCCTAGGTCCAGGGCTCTGTTGCTCCCTGCAGAGGAGCAGGAGATCTGATGGCAGCATCAGTATCCAGGGCAGTGAATGGAGAAGTGGGGCAGCCTAGGGAAAGGCGCAGGATCTGTGGCCTCGAAGTGCACCAGAGAAATGGGAGTTAGTGGTTGGGGAGAAAGGTTTTGGTGGGAGGAGGGGGAAAGGCACCAAGGTTCACAGAGTCCTGTGTGGTCAGATAGATGAAGTCTTGGGCAGGTTTCCTTAATACATGCATCACTGGGGCTTTGGCTGATGGGTGTTTATGTAGCGGGGAGCAGAGGGGTACAGTGGCTATTGAGGTTGCTTGCTGAGTCTGTCTATCAGCCCCTTTTCAGTTCCTGCATGAGTGTTCATCAGCCTGTTGTCAGTAATCAGGTGAGACAGAAGAAATCAAGGCTTTTCTGGACAAGTAATGAGGGTGAGGGCCTGTCTCTCTTTCCCATGTTCAGGGGTTCTGGCGGGTAAAACCCCTCCACACATATCCCCTTTTTATTGGCGCACACTCAGGGTATGGCTATGGAGATGGCGGGAGTCCTCAGAAGAACTGCACTTTGAAGCAGGGTGAGGGAAAGGAAGTGGGTGTGAGTTTTGGATCTAAAAGGTGAACTGGAAGATCAGGTTCAGTAGAATCCAGGACTGCAATCTGTGCTTTGTCTGGGCTTTGCCCACATGAGAAGGCGTCACAGGAACACACACAGTAATTATGTTCATTCTTCTGTACTGCCTCTGTGGTCCTGCCACGGATCAGTAGAGCTACCCACGTGCCCCTTTCCTCCTCCCCCAAGCTATCTCCTTTTACATGAGGTTATTCAAGTCTAATTACTCATCCCTTCTCTGCCTAGATGGTGTAACTGGTCTGCTGGGTTTCCTAATGACTCACAGAAACACCATATACCTTCCTTCTTTGTTGTTTTAACCTTTGGAACTGTAATCAGATGATGGAATGGAAAGAGCTGCAATCCTGCACTGATTACTGAAGGAGAGTCTCTCAGAAGATTTCAGTTTGTTGGGTGCATGTTGCATGCTCCTAGGGAAAAATCAGTCCAGAAGTATCTGTGGAAGCTACTGGGTGTGCAGCCCTTTAGATGCTTGGGTGATGAGCAGTTTGGTGCATTCTCTATTTTGAGACTTTGGCACTGAGCATTTGAAGCGGTGGATTTCCCCTGAATTTCCATATTGGTGTCTAGGTTACATGTATTCCTACTCCAGAGAAATCTTGCAGATTCCCCTGAGGCTTAGTGTCCACTGACTTTACCTAGAGTTTTGCTTGAGTAAGGACTGCTGTATGTAGCCCCATCTTTAGCAAATGTCTGTCCCTGGACCTTTGTCTGCAAATTAAAAGCTTCTCCCATCTACTTTAATTTTCCTTTGGCATCTCTCTGAGATGGCTGCCATTCATTTGTATTTGCAATATTGTGGCTTTCAAGGCTACCTCCATTGTGTGCCCAAGTCTGAATTTTTGTGTGACCCTTTCCTCACCAATCTCATGGGTCATCTGTAGGAATCAAAACCAAGACTCCCTGGATTAAAGGCATAGATTTCCAGCAGATGAGCTAAAGCAGGAAT